TATACAATCGTATGCGGGCGTATACGGTGTAAATTACGATCACATGCGACCATAGTACTTGCCGCCAGAATTACGACCGTATATCGTCGTGTCATGTACAGCGAAATATGACTGTATACGACCACCGTAAACAGTCGTACACAGCGCCGATTATCATCATACTCCATATAACCTTTTCCTATGTCTTCCTCCCCCACTCTCCAAATTGTGCAAAAACTATTACATGGATGACCAAGTCTTGTTGGAGGTTCCAATTCTTTTTTGTCGTGTAGCTAAGATGATAGATCATCGCAACTGCATACGAAAAAACGAATTAGAACCTTCAACCAAACTGGACATTCCTATTTATTTAAATTAATACGTCCACTTAAATTTATCTCTGTGAATAATCTAAAAATAAAGAATAAAGTTTCTTTAAATAATCTAAAATTAAAAACAAAAAATTAGTTGAATAATCTAAAATAAAAATTTATTTTAATAATCTAAAATTGAAAATTGAAATTTATTTGAATTGTTAATTCGAGTAGTTTTATGAAGAACAGCAATTAGAAAACACGATCGAGCTGTGCATACAATTATTTTATTATTTTTTTTTATGAATAATATAGAAAATATAAATTTTCATTTGTTTTTCTCTATACTCTCAATATAGAAAGTCGCATTTTTTTTAAATTTTTCTATAGCAATAGTATAGAAGATGGTTAGTTTTATTACTTACTTTTCTATGTTAATCATATAGAAAATCCTAATTTTTATTTCTTATTTTTAATATTATAGAAAATATTAATTTTAGTGTTTTTATTCCTCTATATGGGTAATATACAAAATGTGATTTATAATTTTTATTTTTCTATATTACCAATATAGAGGAATAAAAAACTAAAAATTAATATTTTCTATATTAATAATATAGAAAAATTCATTAATAATTCTTATTTTTCTATATTGATAATATAAATAACAATTAGTTTTGTTTCTTATTTTTCCATGGTAATAATATAGAAAATATAAATGTTCATTTCTTTTTTTTCTATACTCTCACTATAGAAAATCGCATTCTTTTTTCTATAGCAATAGTATAGAAAATGGTTAATTTTATATCCTTAATTTGGTATGCTAATAATATAGAAAATTCTAATTTTTATTTCTTTTTTTTTTGCATTATTAATATAGATAAATAAGCAATAAAAATGAGATTTTCTATATTACCAATATAGAAAAATAAGATATGAAACTAACTGTTTTCTATATTATTAATACAGAAGAATAAGAAATAAAACATAGGATTTTCCATACTACCAATATAGAAGGGTGTGGGTGTCAGTACAGATCTTCTATTCACTCACACCCACGCCCACACTCAGATATTTCAAGCTCAGACCGGGTACCTATTGTTCAGATTTAAGAGTAGTCTTTGAAGATGAACGACTGATCGATCGATGAGAATATTATACCTTCGCGTTTGGTTTCTTATTACCCATTGCAGCATCTAGAGTTGATGTGTTCAGATTTTGTGACTTACAAATTCTTCGTATCCTGTCTGTCACCGTCACGGTATACCTTAGTGGGTGAAGTTGACCTACTCAATGAATCGAAATCAGTATGACCATCGTGTACAACGATGTCGATAACATACGGAACTATATTTTTTATTTACATAATTACGATATTTATTAGAAACATAAGTGCTACGAAGGAGATGTATCTTAGAAGCGATAAAAGTCAATGTTTATTATAAATTGTTATTTTGAGATTTTCTTATATAAACAAATATATCTTGTTCGAATCCTCTGACACCAATGAACAATGCTTTCGATACTCTACTCAATTATGACAAGAGAACTACGTTTCGTTACTTCCTCAGAAAATTATTTATGTTTGTAAAGGTAATACATTGGTGAAGGTGATTCCGTCACGAAAATTTATTTTAATTCATTTTTAGTCAAGAGCACTAGATTTTTTATTCTAAAACACAGTGCTCTAAGTACAGTTTTTTGTGCTCTATCAAACCATTGGATTGCCTATTTATATAAACATTTCAGCTGGTCAAGAGTGTCGTGATGGAATCACCCTCCAACGATTAGGTTTCCCTCACAAAATTTGAAAACATTAACTTTCTCTGAAGTTGTGACTCTATGACGATGTTAACATGTGTAGAAGTGATTGTAGAGCTCGATTAGCTAATTTAGGAGTCATTTTATGATAGTTTCTAGTTAATTTTATCACATAGGTTGGAGGAGCCATTTGGGAGGCATTGCGCGTAAGCCAGGACTGGTTCCAGTAGAACCTTGCTCAATAGATCTCACCAATCTGTCTGATATTTTTACAGTAGGTAGACCTAGTAAAGTGAGGAAGAAACAAAAAATTTCATCTCAATCGAGTGAGTCATTATGAAGATATAGATGTTACAAGTATAGGTATTTAGACACATTTGTAGTATCTTCCGAGCAGACATTTCAGTTAACTTTGATTTTCTAAAGATAATCAGCAGTTATAACAGAGATTCTTTTACCATAGATACTATTCTCCATAGGGTACGATGCACATAGTTCTGACTCAAAAAGTGATTTGCTATTGAGGCATATTCTCTTCTAAAAACGTGTGAAAAATTGAATGAATCGAATATCATCAAATAAGATTTGAAAAAGTACATCTTCTGTCATCTTTCACAATTATGCCCAAACTAGTTGAAATTTGGGCCTTATGAGTTTTTCAACATGGACTCTCATCTAAATCAACTAAATCGAACACCTGAGAACAAATTGTTAATTTGTATTGTTAGAATCATATGGCAAATTTAACCTTTTTGGCTTTGCTCAAAAAGTTTTGTGTACCAAATTGGACATGCCTTCTATAAATGGCATTTTGCATCAACTAAAAAATATTAGTCGATACGACACTTTCAATCCCATAAAAAGATAGAATATGCTCGACAGCATCTATGGTAAAAAAATCTGTTCAAATTCTTGCTATTCTTTGGAAAATCAAAGTTTGCTGAAAAGTATTGCTCTGGAAGTTACTACAAATGTGTCTAAATACCTATACTTGTAACGTCTATATCTCCATAATGACTCAGTTGTTTGAGATGAAATTTTTAGTTTCTTCCTAACTTGACTAGGTCTACCTACTGTGAAAATATCAGCCAGATTGGTGAGATCGATTCAGCAAGGCTCTGCTGGAATTGGTCGTGGCTAGCGTGCAATACTTCTTAAATGTCAATGTCTAATATATCACTAACACTTTCAAAAAAAAACTTCTGCTTTATCAGAAGAATGGCCTAAAATGTTTTTTTTCCATTGCTTTTTCATGCATGACATCAGATTGTTTAATCTATGGGACTATCTTTGTATTTCTGAAGAAAATTAAATTTGAAAAACTTCATCATTTCTCAAACGTGATTTCGCCACAACTCCTTTTTCTGTCTAAAAAATAAGAATTGCGTATTTTTCAAATTTCCTTTTTTGTATATGTAACTCGTCATCTGAGCTATAACTTTTCTAGAAAATTTTTTTCATTACATTTATAGTTGAGCTAAGTTTTTTAATTCTTTAAACAACACTCAAAATTCAAGTCCATTTTTGGTGATTCCGTCACGGCCTATATTTCAACCATAAAGTAGATACGGACATTGGAATCTAATGAAACTTCCAGCATGTGTAGAGGAAATTGACTTACATAATCTATGAATATTTCAGCCTTATCTGACTTCATTTCATTGAGTTATTGAGAAAGCAAAATGAAAAAACGTGATTCCGTCATGCTTGGACATGCCGTATCATTACTTCGCTGTCTGCCTAATCTCAAACGATATTGCATTGAACATTATCTTGATAGAAGTGTTCTTATCATATTCAAGAATATGGCATCTGAACTTGAAAGCTTAACGCCAACTTTGGAATTTTTCATTCTACTATTATCATTACATAAAGGGTGTGGCATAAGTTCTGATTCCATCCGTATTTTGACTATAACTTTTTTTCTTTTTGATCTTTAAAGTTGATTGTTTTTCCAAAAGATGCGCCGTGAAATTCTCTGTAAAATCATAATCAAATTTATTTCTGTAGAAAGGTAAGAAAAAAAGTTAAATGAAGATTATCCAACACATAAAAAATACCCAACTATCGAAGTTAACGGGTGTCCCATAATCAATCACCAGTGTTTGTATCTGTTTTTTTAATCATCTAATACGTTTATTTTAAAAGCGAAGTATACCATAAGATGCAGCGTGAAAAGCTCTACAAGTTGCATTAAAAAACTTATTTTATATATGCACTCTTCGTTTTTAAAATGGGTAAATATCTGTGCGACCAATTTTCGACGCTGCGAATAAGATGATTTATTTGTAGCACAGAATTTTACTTATTTTAAAAACAAAAGGTGCATCTATATATAAAAAGTTGTTTTTGGTAAATTGTAGAGCTTTTCACGCTGCATCTTATGGTATACTTTGCTTTTAAAATAAACGTACTAGATGATAAAAAAAACAGATACAAATACTAGTCATTGATTATGGGACACCCGTTAGCTTCGATAGTTGGGTATTTTTTATGTGTTGGATAATCTTCATTTAATTTTTTTTCTTACCTTTCTACAGAAATAAATTTGATTATGATTTTGTAGAGAATTTCACGGTGCATCTTTTGGAAAAAACAAACAACTTTCAAGATCAAAAAGAAAAAAAGTTATAGTCAAAATACGGATGTAATCAGAACTTATGCCACACCCTTTATGAACCATACACAGACATAAGAGATATCATTTGTACAAAAAATAATAATCAAATATAGTAAGAATGTATAATGAATTATACAAAATATAATGAAGAAGTGCAATTAGATACAATTTTATTTCTCCGCAAAGATGATTATATATTTGAAGCAGATATGCTTTCTCATACAACTGAATTTTTGTCTAGTTATTAATCTTTCTTTTGTTCAACAAAAAGATAATTCAGATCGTTGTTAATTGGGTATGAATGACAATGATGTTTTTTTTTTACTATGGTAAATGGAAGAACTCGTCTATGGCGTTCTATATCTCCAACTACATTTACTTATACATGTCGTTGGAGAACATTTCTGACTTTCGAAGATATTTTAATTCATTCCAAGAATGATTTTAAATCACATCGAAAACTACATGATCGAGTTGACAATGTAGCTATACTCTGTGCTATTCTATCTTATGATGCTCGTCTAGAAGCGCTTCTTTTACCGAATGAAATCAATTCAACAGTTGAAATTAACAATATAGTGTATTATGAAGATTGGTGGTCATTTGCTCGTCATCGAGTTTATTAAAGCACAAAAACAAGATGCTTTTCCAGCTCCAAAAGTAAACGAACAAAACCTATTCACTAAATAATGTGTTTAAAATCAGCCAAATCAATATTATATATTGTCTTGAAAAAAAATATTTTAATGGCATAATGAACAGTTTTATGAATAGTTTTTTAGTTTATTATAAGCTCATATACAAAGTTTTTTTCACAATATGAATTTTCTCTTACATAGGATATAAATTGTCTACCAAAGAAAATATAGATATATTTTCAGACACTATTGATTGTTATTTGACATTGCTATATTTAATGGAGTATCAAAGTTCAATAAATCGATACAAGCTAAAGAATACTAATACAAGGGTCCAAATTAAATATCGATGATCTATGACTAGCACATGAAACTCTATCCATTCAATTGAAGGAACAAAACTTCTAATTTAGCTTTTGTTCGGTCAGCAAATTCATTGTATTATTAAAGGCATATAGAAATAACGTGTATATCTTTGAAGTTGGATTGGATCAAGAAATTCATTTTGTTAAGAAAAATATATCACATGTGCATGTGAGTGTGGATAGTTCATGGCAAATCTCAAATGGTTATTAAATTTTTAAATCTGAATTATTGATTTGTTGTATACCTAGAAAGATTTATTTCAGTGTTTCTTAAATTCCATTGAAGATCTTAACAGTATACAATTGATATATACCTAATAGAAAAGCCAAATTTCATAAAAACCTGATCGTTCTGATTGGGCAAATTGAAGAACATTGCTGTTGCTTAAAAAAAATCTCTTTTAGTATAAAGCTTTTGTTCTTATTATAAGAAAAATTTTGCTTCAAGAAACGTTTTTTAACTAGTTTGCGCATTTCAAACTTATCTGAATTCTCTTATCAATTGTGATATATATATATTTGTCGGACTCTCTCTCTCTGTTGTATAAAAATGGAACCATGTTTATTCAAGTATAATTCAAGTTAGTTACTTCTGACTGTGTTTATTCATCTATCTAAGTAGTTAGTCATGTACCTGCTAGCGCATAAACTTTTACTCTTGAAAAATATTTCATTCTAGTGGAAAATATCCAAGTAAAATAACGATCTTTTCGATAATAACCCAATCCATATGATTTTTTTGTGAAAAAAATTCGATTAAATTTAATTTTAATTCAAGAATCATTTAAGTAAATGAGCTTTCTTCTTTTGAAGATTATTATCAATTATTTGATTTATATTCAAATAAAAATTTGAAATTGATTTAAATCTCAATCTTATGAAATCTGATTGAGTAGTCTTCAATTGATTAAAACTTGCTGATTTATGTTAAATAAAGTTATGCGGTCAAGTCAAAATCAATATTAAAAATATAGATGTGTCAGCATGAGAGAAGAGAGAGAATCTACATCGACACCTGATACTTTACACTTTTCTAGTTTCAAACATTAATTCGAAGTTATAAAGCGTAGTTATATAATTTTATAAAATTTTTCAAGTATTTTTATTTCAAAAATTTAATATGTTAATTAATTATACTTTGGAAAGAAAATATTTTTCGAAGAACAATAAATATAAAAGTTGTATTCAAACTATGAAAATTATCAAAATAAAATGTTATATTTTAATAGATAAAATTATCCTAATATATTACTAAAATATCTTTGTTTTATGATTATCTATAATATTTTGATAAATTGAAACAAGATCTTCTGTTGCCTTTTTCCATGAATATTGACAAGCATATGCTCGACATAATTGTGGCAAGTTTTTATCATTTTGTTGGATATATTTGAGTGCATTGATAAATTCTTTGTCATTATTTATATCATATTCTAATTGAGGAAAATATGGTTTATATAAATTCTCAAATACGGGACATTTTGGATAGATAATAGGTGTTCCACATGACAATGACTCGAGTAATGTAAAACCATATGTTTCATTTAAACTTGTGCATATAAATGCCTGTGCACTTTGATAATACTTATATAAATTCTTGTAATCAATTCGACCAATAAATTGAATATTTTTTATTTGTTTTTCTTTGACATATAATTTTAATGCATTTTCAATTGAACCAAAACCAACAATATCTAAAGTATATTCATCTTGAACCAAAGAAAATAAATCAATTAATCGAAATAAATTTTTTTCTGGTGCTATTCGTCCAATATGAATCAATTTATTTTTAGTAAAATTTTCGGAATATTGAAATAAATTAGTGTCAATGCCTGTTGATAGAATATTTCCATTATTAAAATTATTACAAAGAATCTTGAGATCAATAAAATTTTCAGGATGTAAAATGGGAATTTTCAACCATATTGTTGGATAATAAAAACAATAAGTAAGCAACCACTCACTTAATTTGCGTATGAAAGGATTTTTTGAATATTCCAGGCCAAAATCAAATAAATTTGTGTGATAAGACGTACAAACAATGATACCCATTAATTTACAAAGTAAATAAAGCAAAACAGTGCCTAGAAGAACATTTGGACCAACAATGTACACTATGTCATATTCTTCAAAAAGAATATCTTTGTATAATTGAAATGATGGCAAACATTGAGAAACATCCGCATTAAAAAAATAAAATGGAATACTAGCTAATTTTCGATTTGCTGTTGGACATTTTTTTGGGCCATAAACAGTAACATGATGACCGAATTGTTTTAAATATTTTACATAATATTCAATGCGAACAGCAATACCACTTGTTTCAGGAAAAAGATGTTCAGAAATAATTAATATCTTCATTTGAAAAAAACCTTGATCAATAAGAATATTTAATCTTTGTCTGAAAGAAAAGATATTGAAAATATTTTTATTTTCCCGTTAACTCAGGTTAGTTTGAAATGATTAATCAAATACATACGAGACTTTTCGAGATGAATGTTAAAAAAAAACAATTAATTGAACCTCAAATCGATGACTACAACTATAGAAGAATCAAAATGAGGATAGTGTTATATTTAGGGTGTGGGTGGGTGTTGATGAATGTTGAAAACATCCACATCCACACCCATCCCTACTGCAAAGCTAAAATTATTACAATCATAGTCAACTCAAAGAGACAAAGAGAAGTGATATATCAAATGCATGCTTTCTAGAATATCCATTATTTTACGTATCTTTCTGTATCTGTTTCTTACTTTTAATTTTTAGTAAAAAAACGATTTCATATATTCATACACTTATCTTTTTCTCAAATTTTCTCAAGTACCTTGTACTTCTTTTCTACTAATCATTATGTTATAAATTAGAAATTCATATAACTTAGCTAATACTCTTCAGAATGCTCAGGTTGCTTGTTTTCAAGATATGCCACACATTTCCTACTTCTACCAATTGACGACTTACTATATTATCTTTTTTTTATTTTCTGGCTTGTTCTGTATGATTTTACTGCATTAATATATTCCAAATGTTATTTAAGATTGAGTATAGAAACTTGCTGCAACAACACCATATTTACTTCCGCCAAAACGTTCCCCAAAAAACTGAAACAAAGCCTACAAGTACAGAGAACTATGCATTTTCCTCCCCAGAGAGTGGTCACAAAAGAAATTTTCCCGAAACACCCATTCTGAATGGTCTCTACGAAAAAAATACATACAACATATCAACTGGATCGAAATTTTTATTTCATGTACTCCTAATAAAAAATACACTATTCGAAAGAGCGCAAAAACTGAGTCTAATGATATAGTTTTCCTGGAGGGGTACTCCCAAGTTCCCAGCAAAAATTTAAAAAAAAACATTTCTCAGTAAGCTCTATCATAGTGTTTCGTTCTCTCGTTATTTTCTTTCTTTTTGTACATATATGTTCGTGTATAGAACTATTCGCATATGATATATATATATATGCTATTGAAAGGAAAAAAACTTCAAT